TCTCTCTCTCTCTCTCTCTCTCTCTCTCTCTCTCTCTCTCTCTCTCTCTCTCTCGTTTTCTTAACCCTATCCGTATGTTGTGTTTTACTATCGTATCCATACGACGTGGGAACTCTGTGCCACCCCTTTCCAAAGACGAAATTTACTAATTAATCCGACCCACACGCTTTGCATAGCAGTCTGTCAAAATGATTTTTTGGAGAAATACTGAAAGTTTCAAAAAGATCTTCGTAATAGATGTATTCTAAAATTTGAAGAATACAACCCCGGGGGTACAAAATGACCCCACGACGTACGGATATGTTTTTTTTTAAAGGAAAATTAAAAACATGTCTCGACTGATTTTGCTCTCCTCCTCCAGGCCCCGCACTAATCTTTTCCGAAGGATTATCTTATCCCTTCTCAGTGAACTGAAAGAATAGAGCATTCACATAGGCCTACAGTGTACATTGTTCTAAAGAAAGTTTGTTTGTTTATGTTTTACGGCACTCGTAACTGCATAAGGTCATATGAGCGCTAAGGGGTGGATGTCAACAGAGAAGTCCTTACAGGGAATCAGACTTATTCTGTTCACCTCTCTAGCTTCAACAGCACAAAGCCTGCTTCGACTATCAAGGCAACCCGGAAATAGCGGGTGACAAGAGTGTGATAAACACACAAAAGAGGTAGAGGAAAAATGTCAATAGTAAGGATTAGGAAAGAACAAGCTGCAGTTCCCTGTTGCAGTTCAGGCCCAGTTATGAGCATGACATTGAGGAATCAGCCCTTTTATTTATGTACAATGCTACTGTGCATAAGAACTCAAGATTTTAATCCCCCCCCCCACCCCTAAAGACACTTCAGCCAGTAGCACTGCCCCGGGGATGAAAGGTTTCGGTTAGGAAATTATAAAAGGCCTACATGTGATCAAAGTAGTGTGGCTAAAGGGTTTATTACATATACAGGCCGACCGGACGAATTGTTATTCCACGCCACAATCGACCTGAAGGCGGCTGCACCTCGCGAGCAACATCATTCTACACACTAGGCCTTGTCTGGGTGAAACTTCACACACGTGTGTGCACCATGGCGCGCAAAACATAAAAATGTGCTGGAATGGAAAATTCTTAAATACAAAACGAAACGAGTTACTCGCGAGCCATTACCCTAATTTTGATACGCTGATTCTGAATCTGGTATTTTTTTATTTTTTTTAAATCTACGACGTGATTTTCTATAATTTTGAAATAGTTCAGTTATCCCCAGCGCAACAAACTTCAAAAGCCAGATGACCTGACGTCAAATTCACTCACAGGCAGCGGCTGTGGGTTGTTTTTTTTCATTCGGCCTGCCGACCATTCGCTGGATGTTCGCCTACGGTTTGAGCCGCATTTCTTCTTCTTCTTATTATTATTATTACACGTTACGATTGGCCGGACGGCCCAGAAACCTGTCCGGTCGGCCTGTACGTGTAACAGGCCCTTAAAGGTCTGGCAGTTTGGAAGTCTCCAGGGAACGACCGAATCTTGGGATTCCAGGAACCCATTTTTTATAAGAAATTAATTATTATGCATAGAAAAATAATGGTAATATATAAATTAAACAAAATTTAAGGAAGAAAAGAAAGAAGGAAAGGGGGGGGGGACGCCGGAGAGAACGAAAGGAGAATTAATTGGCAAGGAAATGTTTTGCTTTTCTTTTGGAATAATTGCCATCAATATAGAAATAGTTACCTGAACTATTAAAAATGTATTTATGAAGGCACCATATATATCCATGCCTGGGTGCTGCTTTATGTACCTTGAAAAACAGAGAAAAAATGAAACGAAATACAATGACATGTGTTGGTAGGAATACAGAACACATCAGAGCCAAATACTCACAATGCAAACAGCGCTATACTGAGATTAAACTTGTTTTCCTCATCGGCAGTCCAAAATTAATCAACAATGTATCTCTGTACACAGAAAAATAACCTGAAAGTAAGGCTAGTAATAGTAAACGCGGGGAGGTCGGAACTGCCTGTCGTTCGTTACCTTGTTCGCTTTGTGCAGTCTGATCAGCTCGTGGAGATAATTTTACGTTACTAGCGTCTGGTGATCAAATCTGCGAACAAAGACATCTCTTTATAATTGCTCTCATCTTATCGTGACTAACCTCTCCTTGCCCTCTTCCCCTTTTTCCACCTACTACCC